CTTTTATTCTGAGATCAAATGGCAGTTATATGTCAAACCCTAACTGAGAAGTACATGGGAGAACTTAGAGAAGTCTGAGATTGAAGCTGTTTTAGAAATAATAATCAAAATGTTTCTTAAAGTTCAAAAAACTATTAGCATAGTTTCTATGACAAGCAGAGAACGTGTTTACAAATAAAATTGCTCTGTAGTTATGCCAGGCTCAGTATCGAAGCAAGTTTGAGATGAATGATTCACGTTGTTTGCATTATGTTCCCGAAGAGAAAGCCGGGAAAAACATGGTGAAATCATGTCAATTACCTTAAGAAACCCTTTATCTTCTTGAGAGATCTTCTCGTATCAAAAGTAAAAACACAAATACACTTTAAGATAACATTGTTGTCATCATCACCACAAAGAACAAAACCAACTTTCACCATGCTCCTGAAGAGAAAACCGGGTAAAGCATGATGAAAGTAAAAACAATCATATTTCTACCATCGGAATTAGGCCCCGAGGACATTTCAAAGAAGCAGAGGAGAGGGCTTTCTGAAATGATAATATTATTGCGGAATGTTTCGAAATATAAAGTGTATGATTAACTTTTCTAAAAAAAATCTTTTGAATTTTCCCCAAACTGGAAAATCCTTCGTTACGTGAAAAACCAAAAACAATATTTTCCTGGAAAAAACCCTTTTGATTTTCACCAAAGCTAGAAAATCCTTTGACTCTTTCTAAAGAACGCTTTTCAGTTTTGGTTTTAGAACTGTTCTTTCTAAACCCTTTCGGTTTTTCAAAGTATGCGTTTTTTTTAGAGAGTACTAATCATAAATGACTCACTCTATTCTTACTGCGAACTCTTGACGCGACTCACACTTTTCCTTACTGTTACCCTTATCCGTTTCTTTTGCTCTTAATTCAAATTTTCCAATTAAAGCAATGTGAAGGTTCACATGTGCCAGCTTGACTATAATGGATAACTACCGACATATAACAAAAATTTGAAAATTTTTCGAAAATCAGTAGCGAGTGGAGTCTACGCAAAGCAAATGCTGAACGGCTTTTGCTATGGGTGTTCCACCGCGCATCTGCTTAAAGTCCCGGATGTAAGAAAAAAGCGCGATCGAGGTATGATTTTGACGCTTATTTGAAAAAATTCGCCTGTTTTGAGTCATAGCTCGGCCTTAGCGCAACCAAGGTGCACAAAACTATACGATGGTCTAGCAGAAAATTTTTTGAAAAATAAATGTTCATCGAATATAAAAAACAAATGACAGTCAAACTTTTCTCAACACGATTTTTATGAAAGAAGTGTTTCAGAAGTTGAATCAATCTCCGCACATCTAAACATCTTCATGTATAACGAAGTCAACCGTTCGGTGCCGTTATCAACTAATTAATTAGTTTTTCATTTCTCCATTTGTTGTCTTTTTCAAAGCGATTTTCATAATGCTGTGACTAAACTTAGAAAAGAAGAAAACATATCAACGTACACCTTGTCATCATCTGACACTATAACCAGACGGCTGGAGAGAGAAGAAGACAAGATTAGTGTAATGAACAATCAAACATTTATGAAAGCAGAGCTTACTTTGAAATGATATGAAACAGACATGAAGTTGCCATTCGCTTGATTATAATTCGGTATTCAGACGGAGTTTCCTTGACTTTAGTCCACAGTCTTAGGCCACGTTCATAGTAAAAAATTAATTCAGTGGTAAGAAAGATGATTGGTCGAAAAGTTATCTCGGAGTTAATTCATATTTTTGACATCATGTAACTTTAAGCCCCCAATCATAAATGAGCTCAGTATCCAATAATATGGTTCCATTAGACGAGAGAGGTAGCGCCAATTCTGTGAGGAAATAAACATCTGACTTTTTACCCATTTTTCTGTTTGAGCTCAGAAACAGTGTTTTTAATAGGAATTCTAAGCAAAGTGGGTTTCCACAGTTTACCACTGCATTTTCCATGTTTTCCCTGCTGAAAACAAAGTGGAAATCGAATTTTCAAAGTGGAAACCCATTTTGTTCAAGCGAGACCCCCTAATCATTAAAAACACTGCTTAGAAAGGCAACTGTAAAACATAAATTCAAACCAGCCAGCTGTTAGCACGGCACAACCTTTAAGAGCAGTGGCGGATCCAGGATTCTACCGACGAGGTGGCGATTTCTAAACGAAGTCGTCCGAGGTAGTATGAATATTTTTTTTAAGAAAGTCTGGTAGTGTACTTGCATTAGAATTCCATTTGCGAGAGGGCGGCGGTCGCCGGACCGCTGTAGTGCTAGATCCGTCACTGTTTCAGAGTAAGTAACGTACGTGCTTGTTGGTAAGCCAGCAAGCAGCACAATTTTAGGAGAAATGTCAAAATCTTAGTGGTGTATTAAAGATCGAGTTAACTTCGAGAACGTTCATATCTAAGAGTTAAGTCGCAAAAATTTGTAATAGTGTACATCCAGGCAGCAAAACAGACGCTTAGTTCGTGCATTTTTTTCTGTTTTTAGAGACATAAATTCATTGGTTGGTATTTGAACACGGATCAAAGCAGAATATTATTTTCTGTTTTGCTTTTTTTAATGATCTGTTGTACTTACTGAGATATTCACTATTCTACACACAAAAAGTGCACTGGAAAACAGTGGAAGATTAAGATTAAACTAAGTTAAAATGTGTCGTGTGAACGTGGCTTTATAGTGTAATCGTAGCCTTACAAAATAACGGTCTATGTGTCTGTACGCAAAATACGGAAAAATGGCCAGTAGATATTTCATAGACAAGCCAATCGTAAGAGAGAATAAACGTTATTCACTTATACGTCACAGATATATCAAAAACGATTAAGGCATGGTCAGATATTGTCTGTAAGCGCATGGAGTTTATTAAAAGTAAATAATAAAATAAATTCAATAGAGAGCGCTAGCTTACTATTAACATGAGCAAGAGGTGAAAAAGTCCTACCTGGAAAACAGAAAAAAATTATTTGGCATTTAGCTGAAAATCCTTAACTTTTCATCACAATTTTAGTCTCAGAATGAAAAGTGTAGTAACAGCAGCGCTATTTAATTTCATTATTTAATTGATATTCGACATTTCGAACTATACAAGGTTCATTTTCAAGAATAAAATTAACGATAAAAGTGTACTTACGTCCGTAGACTTAAAACGAAAGTATGACTCTTGACGTAAATATGTTGCAGTTGAAAGTAAAATTCAGTGGAATTTAAAATTGCACTAGTGGAGATTAAAATTTTAATCTCTACTGGTGAAAAATAAAATGCAAATGCCTGTACATGAGCTGGAGCATGCATTCTCCATAAACTAGGCTCTGAACTGCAAGATCGAGCATACAGTTCAGAACTGGACGAGAAGATTCCAGAGTATTGCAAAATATGAGAGTGAGTGACAAAACCATATCCTGGTTAACAAGAAAGAACAGAGATGAACAAGTAGACAGACAAACAAGACGAAACCTTTACTTCCGTTCTCTTTCTCAAGCATATTAAAATTTATACTTTTGTTCCTTTAAGGGATAATTTTTTCATTTATTTCTACTCTCGAATAAAGCAGATATCAAAGGAATGTGTTTATTGCTATATTTTAGAATTTTCGCATCTAGGCATGACACGATTTCTCATGATTTACACTGGAAAGAAAATGCGAATATCTAGAAGCAAAAAATTCTTATTTCTGGTTAATTAGAATATAAACTTTTTAAATGAAAACTGACGTTTCGGATTTTTTTGAAACAAAAAAAGTCGACCCCAAAAAAATCAGCTTTTTCCTCCATAGTTTTCCGCATGTTTGAGTGCATTTGGCTTATGATATCCCAGGAAAATCTATTTGTATTGATCAAATTGGATGATCCTGTAGCCTAGAAAATCCTCTGTCTTTTGAAAGATTATTTTTCGGCCTTCAATTTATAGTTGAATTAGCTGTGAACTAGGTGAAGAGAGAAGGCACAATTGGAAGTAATCTAAAACATCTTGACTGCCGTGTGGTTGTCTTAGGCATTGGAAAGAGTACGTCAGATGTTATAACAAAAGTGTCTTAGAAAGCTGGCTCGAGTATAAGAATAGATGGTTCTTCTTTATATCTCTCAATGACTTTCTACATAAAATTTTTTTTGATAAAGTACTTAAAAAGAAGTGAATGAGGTATTTATTGATTGCAATATAAGTGTGGAACGATAAAAAACTGATAAAAATAACGATGAAACACGCTGAAATGATTGCTCATTTATTATACTACATTCATTATTTTGCTAGTAATGAATGTGATACGGTAGTTAGCATACGCCTATTAGATTTGTCTACAGAGAGAAATAGTCTCGACACATCGATAAAACGATCGTACTGTGTCAAACTTTGACAGTGATTTTTTATTCTGTTATACACATGCATAAAATTTCGTTATAAATCTTTCACTTCACAGTGTGAGATGAGAAGAAAGAAAAAGAAAAAGAAAACGACAAAAAGGGAGAAAGAAGACAGAACATTATGTGTACTGCATAGTCGAGTAAAAGAAAGAAATAACAATGCAAGCAAAGGAAGAAAGGTGAGAACACATACATTTGTATTCATAGTAAAAATGTAATTGTGACACCGTATGGAACACTTACGATAAATTTATACATATTTCTCGTCTTTCTCCTTTATGTTTATAATGCTGGTAGTTACCAGAACAAGAAGACCAAATAGCTGCGATCTTTTAGTCTATCAATAACGTCCACAACATCCTTGTTCTCTTACTGTCCTTCGAAGCAACACACCTCATCACCAACGGCAGTAAAAAAGTGATCGAAGTATAAGTGAGAAGAGAATGTACACCTGTTGAAAAATTACTTGAAATCCGAAGGATATTCATCTGATTGTAAAACCTCCGAAATTCAAAAATACTGTCAAATCAAAGATAATCCTCGTTCATTCTCTCTTTTCTAGAACTTCTGAAACTGAGTAATTAAGATGATTAGGTTTTGAGACAGTGTCGTCTTTGATAAAAGATTTCTTTTCACGTGATTCCAAATGTCTAGAGGGGTTCGTCAATACGGTCGACGAGATGGAAACAACGGTGGTAGAGTCAACGGAGTCCGTGTTCCGCCCCCATCGATCAGTTCTCAATCGGCCTCTCGTTGGCGTTATGTCCTTGAGGCCCCTGCAGGTGCTACGACGCGCACAAGTCGTCCGATCACAAATATCAGTCAGCAGACCAAGACGACAACAATGAACGACATTATTGTGGACCATGCTATGAGTCGAAACCGTCTGACAGATGCTAGTACCCATTCCAATGTCACTACAAGGGATGTCTACAGTAACAAAGAAGGGCAACATTTAAGTCCCAAAGAATATTTCTATCGTAATGAAACTGAAGCTCAGTCATCCGTACCTCGACATGTTGATGATGCGTGGATCACACAGTTCGTGGATTCGGACATAGATTACTCAACATCCACTGTCGAAAATCAAGAAGTTCAGGCATTAATCAGGGCGCCACCCAAAATTCGACGTTACCCACTCAATGTTGATGTTAGTCCCGAACTCATCGTTCACTCGAATACGCAGCAGTTGCCACACACTCAAGACAACGCTGTACGATATCTCAGGCCGAGGACTCCTCCGCCACCAGGGGTATGTTTTTACGACCGAGATTCTATCAGCTGATTCTTTCGTAAGAGAATGCACTTTCCGGAACAAGGTCAGACTGCTTTTCCTTAGGTCTCTCCATAGATGAAGAAATTGTTCTTTATTTAGTCGATCATTACTCGCAAAATTCGGGCGCCACCGTCCTTGCACACTCAACCCAATACTCTTAGACAGCAGCCTCATCGACCTCGCACATCGTCATCCGTTAGCACTGTAGAGAAATCTCCTGCGAGAGCCAAGTATGCATCGACGACTGTCAATAAAAGTGAGTCCTTCGATTGAGTTCTTTTCTTGACATTAAAATCTAAGACTTGATTTCTTCGCCAGCTTCTCCACCCCGAAAATGGATCCTTGAACGGCCAAATCTACCATCGGAGTCGCGTTCTGTACAGATGAACAAAGTGGGCGTTCAACGGCCGAATCCTCAACGATACAACTCACAATACAAAGATAGCTTTTACACGACAGAGTTTGTTTCATGGAAAACACAGGAATTGGAGAGTGATGAAGAAAAACAACAACAAGCGTCACTGACGGAGGAAGAAACGCTTATGGAACAGAACGATGAGTATAATGGTCGGCAGATCCACCACAAGTACGTATTTCTTTTCGACATTAAGAATGAAATCTTGTATCCTTACTCAGCTTTCCATCCACCTTATCACAAATGATATCAGAGAGATAGTGTTCGAATGATGAGGGAACATTCCCAAGTGTGTCGGATAAATTTTTTAATATAAATTTGAAAAACTAGCAAGTCAGAGTAAGTTTAGCTACCTTTATTTGAAAAATTACTTAACATAAAAAGGTCAATATCCATGTAGAAATTTCCAAAAACTTTTTTCAAATTTTACGCAGAAAAACGCATGCAAAAACCTAGGTAAAGTAAAGCAAAATATGGTTACACGAGCGGAATAATTACAACTTTTTCTGTAAAAAATATTTTGCGTAATTTTGCAAGAGCAAACTGTTTGCGTTACAACGCATGCAGAATTTCTTGCCGTATTTTGCAAAAAAAAATTTTTGCGTTACAGCGCAAGAATGCAGTCGGTGTGTTTCCAAGGCAACGATGAGCGTTTTTTTTGCTTAATTTTACACAAAAAAAGGTGAATTGTTATTCACAATATTTATACAAAATAGCACCAAAAAAGTTGTTTAAGTCAGGCTATCATGCTTGACTGATCGTTTTTGTGCAAAACAGCATGATCGCAATTGGGAAATAGAATGTACTTCCTGCGTTCGCTTTCTCAGTTTTCTAGTGCTACAGATTCTTCAGATGAAAGGTTCAGTTGTAAATAAGAGCTAAAAAAAACGAAAGAGCGCAATAAAAATGTAGTAACTATTTTGACTGACCAAATTGATGAATCGATCGACCATTTTTTACTATAAAGCTTGGACGAATCAATTAAATTTCATCACTGGAAACGAAAATAATATATATTATTTTCCAAGTACACCCATATCCAAAAAACGTAAAAAGAAAAGAGAAAAGTGATGAGTCATCCGTGGATTATCAGCTTTTTTGCGTTATTTTGCAAAACAATCAACGGGTTTTATCCTAATGATATTTATGCAAAATTATGCAAAAAAATTATCAAATATATAATATGTTTACGCACTTATATACGGACAAGGCAAAGTACGTATTAGGAAACGTACATCTCAGTCGATGGAATAATTCTGCAATCAGATTGCTATGGGAATTCCGCTCTTCGCCAATAAGACATTCGCCAATGGCGAAAGTCTGGGTGTATTGGCGAAAGTACAGTGAACTCTCACCAATTGACGAATGTCCAGGGATGAACTGGCAAAAGTCCACTACACTTTCGCCAATTGTTTGGCGAGAGTCGTGTAGATTTTGACCAATATTGGTGAACGTTTAGCAGATCTTTGCCAATTGTCACAGAACAGTATAAGTGTATTTGATACAAATCTTTGTACTCAATTTTAAAGCTACACTCAAATTTGTGATAGTTCGGCTGACTTTCACCAATATTGAGAAGCATTTAGTGGACTTCCGCCAGTTGGCAAAAGCGTAGGTATGTATTGGTGAGAGTTCGTAAGACTTTCGCCAATTGGCGAATATCCAGAGGGTCAATTGGCGAAACTACCGTGGACGTTCGTCAGTGGCGAAAGTCTGATTGGCGAAAGTCCGATTGGCGAAAGTCTTATTGGCGAAGAGCGGGTAACCCATTGCTATAAAGCATTTTTCGTTTTTTACGAATAGGTTTATGACAGTCTGTGCCCGACATCTCTCTGTGGTATTTTTAAAACTTTTACTCTTTCAAACTGAAAGGAAGGAAACTAGTTAAGAAGATTTATAAACAGATATTTTCTTCTTATGATTGCACTATTTGTATGATGACTTTCGAAAAACAGCTAAACCAGAGGCACATCATAGCTTGCATGACTGATGCTTCATCACGGCGTTTCTAACATTATGCGTACGCCTTTGTTTCAAAGTGTACGGTACTCGAACTAAAGTGAAAATACGCTCTGATATACCTGATAGGTTTGCCGCAAAAATCGCGACCTATCTAATTTGAAAGAGCATTGAATTCTGAGTAAGATAATGGGATTTAGAAAATTTAAAAACCTCGGCATGGGGTCCGGAGATGGTCCGACATTTGGAGATTTTTTAAGGTTCCAAGGACCAGTTCACACTTAATCTTCTCAAAAGTGACTAAAGCAATTAATGGGAACGATTTAGGATATAGACTAGAGACAACAAGGAATAAAATAGCTCATTTAAAAAGAATTCAAAATGCTGCATTGCTCTACTGTACTTGTTCTAAGATGGCGAAAATTATGAAAATTCGTCATATTAAAATGCATTTTTCACCATTAAATCGAACTCTAAACTCAAAACTGATATGTGCATCCTGGTAATTTCTATCTAGAAATGTAATGTTTTTGTTTTCCACCTCGAGCTCATTTCTCTACAAAATGACATATTTTTGACGCTTTCAAGTTAAAGAATGACCGCGGTGGAGTCAATACAGAATTCAATCAATGAAATCACGCATATTTTGGCCGTTAATGATCTCTTTTCGTGGTTTTGATGCGATTTCATTTGGCTAAACAATGCAAACGTAGAAAATATGCCATTTTGTAGAGAAATGAACGTTCTATGTAATGGTATGTTTAAAAAGAATTTTCAATGTACTTTTCAGTTGATAGGTTTTCTGGAAAACCCGAGATTTCAAAGACCTATATCTCAAAAACCGGAGAAAGGTATCAGGCTTTTAGTTGATTCGTATACATTGACAGTTGTAGAGTCCAGATATATTAATTGAGGTTGATAAAAATGGGTAGGGACAATACAGAATGTGATGGAGGACCACCGAAAACAGATAAAACGTGAAATTTCGTCTTAAAGGTGGCTCCCAGCAGGCTTACTGGAGAGATTCGGAAATAGATATCAGATAATAAATTCTCACGGAAACCCTCATAGTTTAGGAAAAGTTTAAAAGAAATATTGAGTATTTTTCAAAATTCAGCATCTCCAGAAGAAAGCATTTATTTCGACTGGAACATTCTATGGACTATTAGACATATAGGTGGAAATCTCAATGATCGTCAATAATTGTAGTTTTCACTGATTTTAGTCAAGATGAGAGGCACGGTAAGAAAGGTGCACTTACTAGAATATGGTTACTTTTTTCTGGGCAAGAGAAACGAAATATTGCTATTTACATATTTGGGATTATGCTTTACAAATTTGGATTGGAGGCATTCAATGGAGCCATCGTCAGTCTCGCTACGAATCGTTATGATCAAGATGCTTTTAACACCAGAACTCCGCCACGTACATTTGAAAAAGTCGGATTACTTGTAGGTCTTAATCAAGCTTGTCAATGCATCGGTTCTATTCTCATTGCTCCTCTTATTAAACGTTGGCCGACACGGACTGTTCTAGCGATTTCGGTTTTCGTTTTTGCCATATTCACTGCTATTCTTATGATTATTGATGCTTCAACTGGCGGACGTATAAAACCATCAAATTTTCAACCAACACATGAGAGCGACTTTAGCTACTACGGTCGTTACAATACCAATTTAATTATACCCATTTATTGTGTCAGTGGAATTGCTTACGGAATGGTCGAATTGATTCGACGAATCATTCCAAGGGATATTGTTGGTGATGATGGTGAAAAATTGCAAAGAATGGATGCTTTCGTTCATATATTTTATGAGATTGCAGGTGTTAGTGGAGCGTTTACCACTGGCCTTGGTTTGATTCCTCGCCTTGGAAATAATTATGCATTTATCATTACGCCCATTCTCTTCACGGCTTCGGCTGTCGTTTGGTTTTTCATCAGTTCTCTTGGAATAACGACAACTGATCCAGACGATCAACTTCCGATCAATGATGGAAAGTCCAAAACGAATTATTTCAAATCTGTTATTAATGGATTTGTTCTCTTCGGACAATCCGTCTATTTTGGTGGAAAGATTATATTAACTAATCGAAAATTTATTTGGTTATGGAGTGCCTATTCGTTGACACTTTATGCTCATCGATACATTGAAAATGGCATAGCTCCACAAGTTGCAAGACGATATCTTGGAAATTCGGCATGGTCACAAATTATTGTTGGTGGCTCGAATTTTGGTGAATTACTCGGGGCGTTATTCGTATTTATCTTTACCAGTTTAATAAAGAGTCCTATTTTATGGTTAAGAATAGATGCATTATTATTATTTATCGTTTGGTATATTCCATTCTATTATCCTCCTGCTGGTAATGTTAAATATGCCTGGATTATCGCCGCAACATATATCCCTTTTGGATTTGGAGCGGCTGCTGATGATGTTTCACTTAATGCTTACATTCAATCTACCGTAAGTCGTCAAGAATCAAAAAATAAGAATGTTTCATCGTTGGGAGCTGTTATGGCATTTCTGTATTCATCATATATTATAATCTATGCAATTACAAATCCACTTCTTGGAAAATATATTGACAGTGTTTATAATTCTAGTAAAACAGTGAGACCGGCACTGGTTTATACTGTTGGTGTTCAATTGACCATTATTTTGGTGATAGTGTTTGTGTCTACATTCATTCCGAAAGGTGCAATCGCATTTAATCCTTCACTGCTTCATGAAAAGTAGTTAGATATCAAGTTGAATTGGAATCGAAGATTTTACTGCAAATACAATGGATTCGAATTCAAACATGTTTCAACTGGAAAGATTCGATATTTGTTTTGATTTAGATTAGATAAAGCTACAAATTTATTGGGATTCAATATTCGAAATAGTTTCCTATATCAAACAATTTCGTATTGGTTTAATTTGGAAGAGATTCTTAATTCTTGTTTACTTTTGTATACGTTATTTAATTCTGCTTAACGTTAGTAATTTTTAACTGACCTCACAATTACACAAATGATTAATATGACTATGAAAATTGTTGTCAGGTATAGCTCATTTATGATACAATTGTTAAAAATACATCTATAAACTACGTTTATCTTTTTCAGTACGAATCTGTTTCGAATGGTTACCGTATCGAGTAGAGTTGTCAAATTTTTCTTCTTTACCCAATGATAAGTAATACAACTTATTAGTTATTGTCAAAAAATGAATAATAAATCTTATTACTTTATTACTTATTACTTTTTTCAAGTAATAATCTTTTATTACTACCCATTTTAAAAATATAAATATTTTTCAGCCACATTTTTATTAAAAAAATAACTTGCCATTGTCGATCTCAGGTAAAAGTTGCAAACCTAAAAAGATTTTCTGTAGAAAAATGAATTTTATCCTCAAAATATGAGCTGGCTTTCTCCCGGTGATTAAGACTTAAAACTTTTAGGAGTGTATAAATAAAGTGCTACTAGTTCTATTAAAAACCTATGGTTCTATGGGAAAATGTGTTTACACTTTTTCTATGCTTTGCATTCATTTTGCGTTCAATCCATTTTCATGATATTCCATATAAAATAAAATAGAAATTGCGAATTTTGGATCCTTTCAACAGAGCTCGATGACATCTCATTTTAAAGGGAATTGTGTGCTGCATTCTGAGGAGAGATTACATAAAATTTTCAAAATCATTTGGTTTTTCTCAGTGTCTCTTGAAATCACTCTTCAATTAAAATCTCAGAATGATTTTTACTGAAAAATCGTTTCAAATAGAACTAGTAGCACTCTATAACTTCTGAAAGTTTCCAGTCTGGATCATTATGTTTAATTCATCTAAATGTATCTAACGTAGGCGTGCACTGGTTACAGTTTTTAACCGATTAACCAAAAATGTTGCACAAGTTCTTGAAAATACGTTTAACACAATATGAAGGAAGCATCTGTTGTTTAGGGATGCACCGAGACGGGGTACTCGATACCCGAAACTTTAGTCTCGAGTCTCGAAAGTTTCGGTCTCGAATAGTCTCGATATAAAAGTGCCGGTAGCAAAACTTTCCGAGACTTTTTCTAGACTATTTTTTTTGTTCTGTATAGAAGATTTCTTGGTGAAATATGTACTGGACGTCACGTCGAAAGACATTTTTTTGTAGTAGATATTTTGTATGGTAACTTTTTTGATACTTTTAATCACTAAAAGTGAAAACTTCATGTAGCGTATAAAGTTAGGTA